GGACCTGGGTTCAAATCCCAGCACCCACATGACAGCTAACAACCACCTGTAACTCCATTTCCAGGGATTCTGAGGCTGTCTTCTGACTTCCACAGGCATTGCATGACACAGGTGTACTTACATACATGCAGGCAATACACGCATTCACATAAAATAAAAATAATATTTTTTTAAAGAGCTAACCGTCACAGAGTCCCTCTGGGAAGAGGCGAAGGAGACCAGATCACGAGTGCTATGTGAGGTGGCTGTCTCCCTGTGTAGTCCATCTCTCCTCCCCTCCCCAACCCTGCCACACTCACCCATCACTGTCACACATTCTGATGAATTTCTATAAACATCTTACCTATGAGAGACAAGGTCTTGTTCTGGTCTGGGTGATTTGCCATAAGATCCAGCTACACAGCAATCATTTGTGCCTGGCAACACAGGGGCCTGCAGAGATGGCTCAGAGCGCGTACTGCTTGTGCAAATGACCTAAGTTCAGCTCCCAGCACCTACATCAAGCAGCTCTCAACTGCCTGCAACTCCAGCTCCAGGAGCTCCAACATCCTCTCCAGACTTGTGAGCACATGCACTCAAATGCACACATATGCACATGTACACACATAGACACACATAATTAAAATTAAATTCTTGTGGACTTTTTTGAGACAGGGTCTCCCTGTAGCCCCAGCTGGCCTAGAACTCATTATGTAGACCAGGCTGGCCTTGGTCTCACAGATATCCACCTGCCTTAGCCTCACAAATGCTGGGATTAAAGGCATATGCCACTACACCCAGCAAAATTATTTTTTTTAAAACCCAGCCAAGCTACCTTGGGTATAAATCCGAAGGACACAGCTGTGGGCAGGTCAGACACTGGCTCTCTCTTGTGCTTGCTGCTGACCTGTTCATAGCAGTCAGATGTGGAAGCTGTCCACATACCCGTCAACAAACCAATGAGAAATAAAATTGGAGGCAGAGGATCAGGAGTTCAAGGTATCCTGAGCTACACAGCAAACTGGAGGCCAGCCCAGGCTACATGATGTCAAAACCAAACAAACCAACAAAAAGACCAATAAAAAGCAAGCAAGCACTGCGATAGATGGCGCAGGCCTTTAATCCCAGCACTCGGGAGGCAGAGGCAGGTGGATCTCTATGAGTTCAGGGCCAGCCTGGTCTACATAGTGAGTTCCAGGACAGCTGGGGCTACAGGGAGACCCTGTCTCAAAAAGACCAAAAAAAAAAAAAAGCAAGTGTGCACATGTGTGCGCACGCACACACAGGGATATTATTCAGCTATAAAAAGAATAGCGCTCTATCATATGCAGCAAAATGGGTGGAACTGGAAGACATTATGTTGGATTTTTTAAAATAAATCCCAGAGACTTGGGACTGTTACAGAGAGGCTGAAGGAGCTTAAAGGCACATTAACATCATGCAAGAGAAAATAAAAGAAATTAGATCCTCAAAGAGGAAAATCTGTACAAAATTAAATCTCTATCCTGTACATGGCTATGAGGTGGGCAATATTTGCACAGCTACAAAGATGCGGAGGTGATTTACTGATACCATAAGTTTCGGAATTAACCTGTGGTGATACCTGAAAACTTAATCACACTTTCAGTGCAGGGCGAGGGTGCACGCGCAACAGCTGGGGCACGGAGGTGGCACTAAACTTTTCCTGGGGAAGGAAAGAACCTTGCTGTTTTGCACGTGGCCAATTCCCTAGCAGGCACCAAACTGCTCTGCAGGCAGAGTAATGGGATGGTTAGGCTGGCCGGCTTTGAAGTCTGACACTCTCAGATCCACTCCAGGCTCTGATGCGGAGCTTTGGGAGACTAGACAAATTATTCTACTTCTCTCTGCCCGGATTTGTTCATTTGCATGTCACCTGACGTGAAGGTTGCGAGGATTAAATAGCGCATTTATGTAAAAGTCCTCGATGTTCAGACCTCCTAAATGTATGAGGCGATTAGCTGCTATTTTATCTTTGTAAAGAAAGGAAGGAATATTGATCTGCTTCGTCCAAGGACTAAAGAAAGGAAAAAGAAGACACCACTGGACATAGCAGCCCTCAGCCAGGCACCATAGAGCCCATGCCAACAACGGTCCTTCCACCACTGTCCAGAGTTGGCTTTCTATGACGGCATCAAGAACTTTAACCTTGCGTGTCCCAGACCCAATCTGGACTGTTCCTGGAAGCCAGTACCCACAGGGCACTCTGGAAAGCTGATGAAGAGGGGGGAGGCTCTGCCAGCTCCCTGTATGAGGGCCTTTCTTCAAACCCCAAGACCACGCCCACAAGTACACCCCAGGTAGGAGGGTCCCGTGAATCACACCTGGACTCCTGTGCCTGTGACGGTCACACCACATGGTGACTGTTGGGTCAGGAAATTAAGTGATCGTTTGTGCCTAGCAAAATAATGTAAGGCCAAGGTCTCATTAATTACCCTAACTAGCAGGCTGGCCCCAGTCGGAGGAAGAGAAGCAGAGCCGCGTTGGCAATCTGAGCGCGCTGAGCTCGTGTAATTAGCTCATCCATAATTGAACGCCCTGCTCCCATCCAGTTGGCGCTCGTTAGTCAAAATCACATCTGTCATAACTCCACAGGTTGTTTCCAACAAATTGGGCTTTTTTGCTCAAAGTCTTGTATCATTTTAAAAATGTGTCCTGTGCAACGTGTCAGGAACAGGGACAATTTTCGTAAGATAAATGGAGTCTGGTCACACTCTTCTCGCGAAGGATGTTGTAACGTTCCCCACCTGGTGGTGTTTCCGAGGGCAAGCTGTGCTGGGGGCACACCACAGGCTGGCAGTGTAAGGCTCCGGATTCTCCCCAGCCCCCCTCCTCTTAGCCCTGCCAGGGATGACTCTGAGGTCCCCGAGGCTCTTCTGTCAGGCCCTCAGCTCCAAGCTCTGGCCCATAGTCCAAGTTTCAGTGAGAGACACAGAGGACAAGATACCACTGGCCCTCATCCCACACACATAACTGTTCCAGATATGTTCAACATGCACCCAGGAGAGCTACGCATGTGGCCCGACACAAAACAGTAAACTTTCTTAAAACATTGTGGGGTTTGTTTGTTTGGTTGGTTGGTGGTGGTGGTGGTGGTGGTGGTGGTTGTTTTCTGTAGCTTGATTGCCTGGCTCCCAAGGGCGAACTTTGCAGATGACTACATCTGCCACGACATCCAAAGCTTGGGCATTCCTATAAGAGGTTCAGAAAGGACATTTTGCATACTGGAAGTCTTCTTGAAACGGTTCCCACTCCTGTATGGGATTCTTGAGCTTCCCTGTTGGGTAACAGGACTGTGATTTCTATCCTGGCAGTCTCCAAGCCAGGATGCCGTGCCCAGGATGCCGTGCCCAGGATGCCGTGCCCAGGATGCCATGCCCAGCTGGCAGCACCTGTTCTCCTGCTGTTGATGTGTGGACATCGTTACAAACGACGTCCACTCCCTTCCTGAATCCCTGGGAAACCCTTGAGAATCCCCAGGCCCGATTCACTACCTGCTGTCACATAATCCCAAGAGGGTGGCATGGGCCCCAGGTCACCCCCATTACTTGGGGTGGGTATGTTCCTCTCATAGAAACATCCCCTGGGTGACTGTCCTTCCCCCACGCCCTTCCCCCACCCCAGCAGCCTCCAATCACCGCAATATGGCACCACCTGCAGAGGGGACCCTCTCCACACCCCACTCCCTCCCCAGAAGAAACTGGGCTAAATACTTTTCACACCGTTGCTGTGATAAAATGCCTGACAAAAGCAACTTAAGGAGGAAGGGACATTTTGGCTCAGTTTCTGGGCACAGTCCATCCTGGGGAGAAGGTGCGGTGGCAGGAGCGTGAGGCAGCTGGGCACGTGGCATCCACAGTCAGGAGGCAGAGAGAGATGAAGGCTGGTGCTCAGCTCACGTTCTCCTTTTTATTCAGTCCAGGACCCCAACTCATGGGGATGGTGGCCATATTTAGGGTGGGTCTTCCAACCTCAAACAACCCAACCTAGAAACTCCCTCACAGACCCGTGCAGAGGCTCAGTGAATGCATGCATGCCCGGGTGGCAGCCTGTCTCACCAGCTCTACAGTCCCCTTCACAGCGGCACCCCACTCTCCTCTGTGTGGCCACCTCTCCCCAAGTCCATACCAGCTATGACCTGTCGCCCAGCTGGGGAGAACTGGGCCTCAGCCTGGGATTCAGTGCTCCAGCAGAGTCATCTGAAACTAGTGCCCAGAGAGGCCACAGTCCGACCCAAAGTACAGGTCCCATCTTCCTGAGCCTGGCCTTCAACTACCTCTTAGTGACATGTGACCTCTACTCTCAGTATACCCCCCTCCACCATTACACCCTCTTCTCTACTTTCATCAGTCACTTTGTAAGGGCTGAGAACACAGGTGAGTGATCCAGTTTCCCAGAGTGGTCTTGGGGGATGCCAGACCTTGACAGCAGCCTTCTGGGACCATGACCAGGAAGACCAACCCAGTCGGTCCTGGACACCACCTCAAATCATGGGCCATCACTGGCCCTCTGCCCCTCTCAGGCCGTCTTCACCCCTCTGCAAGAAAGTCCTGGCCTAGGGCTGGGGAGACCGGCCCTCACCCCCATGTGCCCATAAGTAACTGAGCGGCTCTGGGTCACTGGGGACTTCTGCTTCTTGTGACAAGCAGACAGGACAGTGATGCTTGTCAGCAGTTCAGGAGGCGTTGTGGACATGCACCTTAAAGATCGGTGCCATCAAGTACACATTGAGGTGATGGCGGCTGGTCCCCAACAAGCAGGAAAGTGGCTGGGTCAGCGCAGGCAAGGCAGCCTCAGCTGGTGACTGTTCAGGGTCACGCTGCTGTTTGAGATGCGGTGAGTCCACTGCCTGCCTTTGGGTATCACCTGAGCTTTGTGGAAACTGAGGTGTGTCCAGCCTCCCAAATAAGGCACAGCGATCTAGTCCCACAAGCAGCACAGAGCCAGGTTTGTGGCCAGGTGAGATGAGGGCAAAGTTCCCCACCAAAGTGGGAAACCAGCTCTCATGTCTCACGCTTCCAAGGTCGAGGACGGCTCAGGGGGTGCTCTGCCCGTTGAAGGAGTGACGTGTGGGAGGCTCCTGGGTTTGCCTCAGCTCCACAGCCCACAGAGCCAGAAAGTGGGGTAAGCAGTCGCAACCAGAGGCCACAGGCTGCACCCATGGATGCTGTGAACAGAGGGACCTGCTGATTAGAGAGGCCCACGGCATCCAACCAACACCCAGAGAGACAGATGGGACTGTGGAGATGGCGCAGTTGATAAAGTTCTTGCCACACAAGCACAGGGCTCGAGTTTTATTACTATTATTGCTGTTGTTGTTATTTTAATACAGAGCCCACTATTTTTTATCTTTTTGAGAGGCAGGGTCTCCCTATAGCCCCAGCTGGCCTGGAGCTCACTTTGTACACCAACCTGCCCTTAAACTCACAGATATCCACCTGCCTCTGCATCCCAAGTGCTTGGATTAAAGGTGTGCGCCACCAAGCCTGGCCATTGCTAATTTTTTAGATTTATTTTTATTTTATGCATATGAGTAATGCCTGCACATATGTAGGTATATCAGTGTTGTGCATTGCCTGTGGAGGTCAGAAGGGGCCACTGAATCTCCTGGAACTGGAATTACAGACAGTTGTTAGCTACCATGTGGGTGCAATGATTCAAACCTAGGTCCTCTGCAAGAGCAGCCCTAGGACTGAGTTTAGCACCCAAAGCCCACATAAAAAAAAGCCGGCCGCATGGCGCTTTTGTAATCCCAGCACTGGGAAAATGGAGACAGGCAGGGCCCTGGGGCTCACTGGAAGCCAGTCTAGTCTAACTGAGCTCCACGTCCCAGTGACAGACCCTGTCTCAAAGGAGGAAGACAGCACTCCTGAGGATGACACCCAAGGTTGTCCTCTGACCTACACACACACACACACACACACACACACACAAATGCACACATTCAATAAACAAAACAAAGATGGGGAGATGGGGAGACGGGGAGATGGGGAGATGGGGAGATGGGGAGAGGGAAAGCAGAGAGGTGGAGGACTAGAGAGAGACACAAAGAAGCAGGCGGCTGACGGCCAGCCGTTCTCTGGCCTGAATCACTCCAGGAACCCCTCAGAGGCTCTGCCTGGGGCAGGGTTTGGGGTAACTCCTCTGTTGGGTTTCCCTCTGCCCGAGAGCACTTCTCCCAAGACCGTGCCATTCAGGACGCCCTGTGGGCAAACAGCCTGTGGCCACAGGGCCAGTGACGGCCAGCCCTCCCCCACAGGCTCCCCATAGTGGAGTTCTGCCACAGCGATTGCGGTAGAACCTCGGCCTGAGCCACACAGAGCTGGGGAAGGGCTTTACCCTTCTTGCCACCCCAATGATACCAGCACCTATAATCTGCCTGGCCCTGTGAGGACGGAGAGGGTGACGCTGCAGTCACTGGCTCCCTTGCCTGTTAGGCTGTTGTGTGTGTGCATGTGTGCCAACTTCAGGCGTCTTCTGAAGACTGAGAAAGGTCCTGGCCTGGCTCTGAGGTGGTGGTGAAGGTTGGTAAGAGGCCTGGCCACACTGGGGAGGTGCAGAGCGGGCTCCTCTCCTATCCTGAAATGCCCATCACCTGCCTGGCTCTGGGTTCAGCAACGCAAGACACTCTGTGGAACCCTCCTCCTTGGCCCCCTCCCTGGACTCCCTAAACCCCTGCCCTATTTAGGACTAACTGCTCTTTTCGCTTCTGTAAATCGCTTGGATTGAGGGAACCAGAGGGACAAACTGCACCGTCTCCATTTTGACTGCTGATTCCTCCATTTTCATGATGTCTCATGGTCATAGACTAAGGCAAACCCGGGCATGTCCAGGGGGCCCGGGCAGGTTTGAGGCCTTATAAGGAATAAACAGGGTCCCATAGCCCTGAAGATAACAGTCAGCACATTCCACAGCCCTGAGGGCAGCACCCACCAATGAGAGGCCTCCAAGACTGTAACCAATCAATTCAAAAGTATGTTGGTGCGCACGCGCACACAGGCTCTTTGGGCCAATCAAAACAACTCTGTCATTCCCCTCCTCCCTTTGTCTGAAACCTATGAAAAGCTCCCTCCCCCTGCAATCTGCACTCTCAGACAGACCTACCACGTTAGTTTGGTCTGAGAGTCCGAGCTTAAGCCCGAATAAAGACTCTTTGTTCTTTCATGCTCTCTGGACTCCGTGGTAATTCTTGGGGATCCGTTCTCTGGGCACAACAACTCACATTCATGAGCAAATGAATGCCTGTCCGGCAAGGCCTGCCTTCCTTATGGTGACTGTGGCAAATTACAATGAGTCCTCCACAGCAGCAGGCTCCACATCTGTGGACTCAACCAGCCACAGAAGAAAAATATTCAGGAAGAAAACGCATCCTGCTGAACACACACGGACATTTCCTCTCGGTGTTAGTTCTTAAGCAATACTCTGTGGCAACTCTTCGCAGAGCATTGACTGCATGAGGTAGCATTAAAAAAAACCTATAGCTGGGCATGGTGGCACACGCCTTTAATCCCAGCACTTGGGAGACAGAGGCAGGTGGATCTCTGTGAGTTTGAGACCAGCCTGGTCTACATGGTGAGTTCCAGGACAGCTGGGGCTATGGGGAGACCCTGTCTCAAAAAAAAAAAAAAAGAAAAAAGAAAAAAACCTATAGGGGCTTGAGAGATAGCTCAGCAGTTAAGAACTCTGTTCTTGCAGAAGACCCAGGTTCGAATCCCAGCACCCACATGGCAGCTAACAACTGTCCATAACTCCAGTTCCAGGGTATCCGACAGCCTCTTCTGTCCTCCGTGGGCACTGCACAACACAGATGTACTTACCTACATGCAGGCAATACACACATACACATAAATAAAAATAATAAATAAAATATTTTTTTAAAACCTATACATGGCACAGGAGCTGGGCACAGAGGTGTGCACCTGTCACTGGGGCCACTATGAAGGTCAGCAGGAGGATGGCTTGGGCCCAGGATTTCAAGGTCAATCTGGGCAGCACACACGGATCCTACACCCCCAAAAAATAAAACCCAGAACACGCCATGAAGTATAAAGGCGGGCATGTGAATGTGTCAGCACTGTGCCACTTACAAAGTACTTGGGCATCTGAAGACTTGGGTACCTGATTGGGATCCTGGAGCCAATGGCCCCAAGACCCAGCTGCTCCCCCAACCCTCCCATCCAGCTGTTTCTCCCAGGAAATACTTGTCTCACAGGGAAACAGAAAATGTCAGAAGGACCAGCAGTGGCAGCTGAGCTGAGGTTGTGACTTACCCTTCTAATCCTGTCCTGTCACCACAGGCTTTCCTCCCTCCTGTTCTCAGCCATCAACCAATGACCTGAGAGACACTGAGGCTCAGTGCACGTGGCTGGTGTTAGCAAGTGTCACCTTCCATCAGAGGTCAGTTCCACTGGGGTTGTAGTCAAGTTCTGGCGCTGCTAGCAGACCCTAGGCTGCGTGCTCCTAGGCTCCCCAACAGGGCCACTGTGGACCCGCCTCCCTGGGGCATGTTCTAACACCTCAAAGCATAGATTGAGAGGGCAAGCACCCTGGATTTTCCTGCTCTGGCTCTAGCTCTCCAGGGTCATCTGCGCATTCCCAAAAGGACAGGCACCAGCCTGGAGCCACAGCTGGAGCCACACATGTTCTCCAATGATTCCTGGGAATGGGAGGACCCCAGAGTGAGTTTTGCATGTGCCCGGTCCACTCCAGAAGAATGTCTGGCTTCTAGGTCCACTGCTGTAGCACAGTAGAAGGGCCTGAGCCCACGGCTCAGAGTGTGGAAGATCACTCTGCTGAGCTGACCACGCCCCCAGCGAAAGCCTGGGCAGATGGCATTCCCACAAGGTCTACGAGGGACCAAGAACCCTCAGGCTCCAACATCCCACTCTCGGAGCCCCTGAATCTTTCATGCGTGTGTGTGTGTGTGTGTGTGTGTGTGTGTGTGTGTGTGTTTGTATACACATTTGTATACAGGTACATGTGCAAGGTACATGTGCATGTGTGTGTGCATGTTGCAAATAGAGGCACAGGTTGATGTGGGGGATGTTTTATGTTTTTGTTTTATTTTTTAAATATTTTTTATTTTATGTATATGAGGGTATTGCCTGCATGTGTGTGAGTGCACCGGTGTCATGCAATGTCCATGAAGGTCAGAAGAGGGCATCGGATCCTCTGGAACTGGAGTTACTGATGGTTGTTAGCCACCATGTAAGTGCTCAGAATTGAACCCAGGTCCTCTGCAAGAGCAGCCAGTGCTCTTAACCACTGAGCTATCTCTCCAGTCCTATTTTTGTTTTGTTTTTGTTTAAGACAAGTTCTCTAGCCCCAGATGGCCTGGAACTCACTATGTAGACCAGGCTGACCTTGATCTCTCAGAAATCAGCCTGCCTCTGCCTCCTGAGTGCTGGTATTAAAGTGCTGGGACTCTGGCTTCCACCAGTAAGAGTAAGCTGTTACTGAAGCTGGAGCTCACTAATCCGGCTACACTGGCTGGCCATCCTGGCCCAGGATCCTCTTGTCTCTACCTTCTCAGCACTGAGATTACAGGGTCATGCTCAACTTCTCTTGTGGGTTTTAGGATCGATCGAATTCACGTCCTCATGCTTGCAAGATATGCGCTCTGCCAATGGGGTCAGCCCCAGCTCATCTCTGGATCTTTCAAGTGCTTTGTGTTTTAAGTTGGTGGCCCTTGTGTGGGTATCACCACAGCCTTGTGGGCCCTGAAACGTTGCTCATTCCCCCTTAACATCTCAAAGCACCTCTGCTCTCAGCACCCACCCAATAGAAAGGGGGAAAGTCACACAGCAGAACCCAGGGCTGTAGGACCAACCCTAACAGCTGATGGTGTCCACTGCAAGGGCCTGTCTCCCAGTGTAACGCACAGCCCCGTGCCCTGGAGAATGACCACGGGGGCCTGGAATGGGACCAACCCAGATCCAAGAGGAGAAGTAGAGCCTCAAAGTAAGCATGTGGTCCCCACAGGCAGCCAGGGTGGGGACGAGTCATCCTATCTTCAGGTAATGTATGGGGACAGGCATGATGACACACAAAATGTCTCTTTCTAGCTCCTGATCCTGACGAATGCATTACAATAACTTTATTAAGAAAATCAATGCACATCAATTTAATTTCCAGGATAAGTGCTATGCAGACATTGCAGCGGGCAAC